TATCTGATCTCAATTACATGTAGCATAGATTGTTAAGATTTTCAGTATTTCTCCGTACTCTACTCATTTTTAGTTCATCGAACACTCAAGACGGTCTTTTATACATTTCCAAACACAATGATGTTCGCAAAAATACTCCGCTACGTGTCGTAGTTCAGCTCTCTTTTGAACCTTGGAAATGTGGTTAAACACGGTCTTTCGTGTTTGATATATAGATCATTTTCACGTGACGTCATCAAATTCCAAAATCCAAAATTAAAAAAGCCATGAAAGTTTTTATTCTCATCAGACATAAAGGGATCTAAATTTATTTCGGTTTACAAATTTTCAGCTCAATAGCGTGCTTGGTTTGGAAACCAGCGCATTTTGAATTTCGGAGTTATGGCGGCGCGTGAAACAAAGCTACGATCGCGTTTGTCGAAAAATATACACTTATCTCGTGACTTTTAGCCGTTTTAGTATTAAGTATTAGGAAGAGTGCCTGTGTAAATGTTTGTTGGTTCAGTTTAGATAATCAGTTGCCTAAACAGCCAAATTTAAGTTCCAGATGTTTACACTATTTTCCGGTCGCCATATTGGTGGACCACGGAGGTCCACCAACATGGCGGCTCCATACTGGGCTCTGTAAATTTTTGCATTTCGACGAATATCCGAGGTTTGGGAAAACGCAGAGACGTAAAACTTAGAGAAGCGTCTTCTTTACTTATCTTCTATAACATTGCAATTTCTTGACTTTATCCACTGAATGGTTTTTGATTTACTTTTTCGTTACGTGACAGTGAAAACGTTCTTTTAATTACCTAAGAGATAAGAATTGACCGTCCCAGAATACAACAGGAATAAAACAGTTCTTACACGAAATATATGGCGATAGAGGACTCGTTTTGGCTTACCTACTGCAACGTCTGGTGCTTGTGTAAACTTGAAATCAAAGATTTTTCCTCCAAGACGATCTTCTCTCTCAAATACACACACGCTTGTCTCGTTTGTTTCGTCTTTTTTGTCAAGAAGTGCATAAGCCATCAGTAGACCCCCTGTTCCTAAGAAGTAATAGAAATTGAGTTATAAAATAACAACAACAATAACGATAGCTATATTATAGTATTGCAGTCTTTATGTATAAATTTCATAATAGGCGTCTACCATCTGTGTTTGATACTTTCTTTACACAAGTCAATAAGACTATAATACAAGTGCTTCGAATATGTTCTATACTTTACCTAAAGTCAGAACAAATTATGGAATATTCAACATAAGATTTAAGGGCCCCAAAGTATGGAACTCAATTAGTGAAAATTTGAAAACCTTCTCTATTTCAAACTTAAAGGAATCAGTAAAAAGCGATCTTGTGAAAGATATTTAATTCCTTGTGTTCTTATTAGCGGTTGTGTTGTTTCCCAATTTACCTGTAAATTAGTCTTTTGTTAATTTCTGTCACTTTTCCAAGTTTTTTTTTTT